TGTGTAGATTGTCTATACATAGTCTACATGGGCTATTGTCTGCTCATAGTCTATACCTAGTCTGTATAGTGTGTAGATTGTCTATACATAGTCTACATGGGCTATTGTCTGCTCACAGTCTATACCTACTGTCTATACATAACTGCAGTCTATACATAGTCTATACAACTCCTACAGTTTGTAGCTTGTCTAGACATAGTCTACATGGTCGATAATCTGCTATAAATAGTCTATACATAATGCCTATACATACCTGCAGTCTATGCATAGTCTATAAAGTCTATACCTACTGTCTATACATACTGCCTATACATACTGCCTATACATATCTGCAGTCTATACATAGTCTATAAAGTCTATACCTGCAGTCTATACAAAGTCTGTAACTCCTATAGTCTACAGTCTATACATACCTGCAGTCTAAACATGTGTATAACTCCTGTAATCTATAGATTGTCTATACATAGTCTAGAGTATGCATAGTCTACATAGTCTACGATAGTTTGTAGATTATCTATACATATTCTACAGTCTATACATAGCTTATACATACAGTCTATACATAAAATATGTACAGTCTATACATAGGTTCGTCATGCAAAACAAAATCAACTTTTACCCATCTCCCCTCCTCTCTATCCACTTCGGTGTCCCATACCGCTATCTTTTCTGCTGCCACTGCTCTGTTGTTCTGTATGATTGAAACTCCCGCTGAGTGTGATCTGCTTGCTGGTGCCCACCGGACCATCTTGAGCCATTGTAGCTTTTGAACCAATCTGTTCTGCATCTGCTGGTGTTCCCATGATCCGTAAGAGGCGTTTCTTGTAGGCAGATGAAATCCGGTGGGTCCTTGTCGTGCCATGCTGTGGATTTCATTATATTACTCCACTTGTCTTGATTATCTAAGACCCCTGATAGACCATTGACGTTCCACGACATGATTTTTAACTCTGGCTGTTTCACACTTGCGATCTCCCCCCTTTTCCTCTTCGTTTGTCCCGCCTCCCTTTGGTTCTCCATAATCGCTAGATCCTGGTTTCAGGGGCCTTCAACATTGGTTGAAGGATTCAGGTATTGAGTGACGCCAAATCTATCCTTGTGGAGACCGGCTCAATTTGCTTTCCAAGAACTCCGGCTTCCATGCAAAGGCTTCCATTTTTACTGCAATGGCCGCGCTTCTGGCTACCAGCCTACCCATTCCGCTGTTACCTCCCCTCCCAGTAGGCCGCATGGTATGGTCTCTACGACCTGCCACGGCATCCATACCAGGTCGCCCTTCAATACTGCCGCTTCTTGCACGACCAGCAGTATCGGCCTAAAATCCACTGCCAAGTTCCCTCTCCTGGAGTCCCCACCTTCTGTTGTGGATTCCATTCTTCCCAAAATGTGCACCCTGGTGGGTAGATCCTCGACTATCAAGTTCCGGAAGTCTTTCTCCGTGCAGGCACTCACCTTCATGCTGATAAGCTGGAGCGAGCGATGGATTGCAACCTCCCAGTCAGAGTGCTTCTCATTCCAGCGACACCGAAGGACCACTCTTTGCTTAGCCCCATTCTTCCCGTCCAGTCTCGCCGCTGCTTCGATTTCTCTTTGCTGACCCTGTGCTATTTTTTGTAGGTTGATTGTTGCCTCCTCAAATTCGTGGTTCTGGTCCTTCAGGATATTGACTTGGGCTTCCAGAATCGCAGCTTGTCTCTGTAGATCTTCCTTGGCGCTCTCCTCAGCTTCTTCTATCAACTCCTTTGTCCCCATCCTCTGATCCTGTGAGTCTTGAGTTTGATCCACCCTGCTGCCCTGGTCAGCTTCTGTCCGTACTTTGCATTTTCTGTTGCTGCGTTTGCTGTCCTTGTGGAGGTAGGACTTCGGCCATTGAAAGCATTTATTATACTCCTCCTCCGGCACGTGGATTTCATTTTTGTTGGGCCGGGACTTCCGTGCATATTGTGTTAGTGAGGTCAGCCTGGTCAGGGGAGGAGATAGACGGTCACGATAGCTTCAGGAAGGTAATATGGTCGTGATTGGAGGAAGAAGACTCCATGCTCCCACAGAAGATCGACTTTAAATTGTCATTTCGAGTTCCAGCTTCAGTGTGGTAGCCTGGGATGGCCAGCGCTGTAGATAAGTTGACTTGGCAAGTGGCATTGCACAAGCTTTTTTTTGGTTTTTCCCAGTTTGTTAAAACCAGCTACAACATTCAAACTGCTTCTCCCTCTTTTCCCACAGGAATCCTTCTCACTACCTGAATGCACCCATGGATTGCAAGTCCACCACCAGTCTGGACACAATGCCACTTGCCAAGTCAACTTCTCTACAGCGCTTGCCATCCCAGGCTAGCACGCTGAAGCTGGAACTCGAAATGACAATTTAAAGTCGATCTTCTGTGGGAGCATGGAGTCTTCTTCCTCCAATCACGACCATATTACCTTCCTGAAGCTATCGTGACCGTCTATCTCCACCCCTGACCAGGCTGACCTCACTAGCAGAAGTGCCACACTCTGTACAGCACAAACACTAACAAGATGAAGTGCTCGATGAGGAACATTGGTCTTTCTCTATTCTTGGAGTCTTCTTCCTCAGGTAGCTATGGTCGCCAGTCAACAAGTAAGCTTTATACACCTTCTTGCCAACCCTAAGCTTGTGCAATGGTTGCCTCCTCCTTCCAATCTCCACCTCTAGACTCTAACCCTCCTCTTTATGGTGCCAGACAAGCTCTGCACCACGTAGTATGAGTCTTGGATGAAGAAATTCAATGTGGAGCCCATGCAACCACTGGTCTTCTCTGCGGCAGTTATGGGACGCTGGTTAACCTGATAAAGAAAGCGACCTCTGTGTCGTGTCGCCTCCTGTCCCCAATTAATTGGGTAATCTGCCTACTGAAGGGCAGCAGTCCCGAATCGATGGCAGAGGGCGCAGCCCGGGAAGAACGAAAAGCGTCCACAGGGCAGTCTGGAATATCGTTTGTAACAATTCCTCTGTGAATGATGATTCTTTAGAGCTTACATATCTTGTTTGTCATTTACTACACATTCAGTTACAACCGAAGGTTCATGAGGCTGTCGACAAAACAATATCATAATTAATTATGATTGGCGTATTTAGGTGCACTACGTTTTCTATTCTTTTCTACACTCTTTTGGGTGAGTTGCATTCTTCGTCGCCAAACACACCTCGTTGGCAGAAGTGGATCATTGGGTACCACTTGCCCTACGATTGGTTCCGTCGCTAACTAAATATACACCAAATTCTAATAAACACTCCGAGTTGACACAC